AAATACTTCATATCATCTAAAAGCATTTTGATAATTTATATTCCTTAGATATGAATCAGTACAACATGTTGCATTATCATTAACATTGTCTTCGTGAAAATTCTTATTTTGGTGATTGTGTCTTTGATGTAATAAATAATTGAATTTAATAAATTTTTCGGCTGCAATATTTGCTGACGAAGTAATAAAATTTGGTTTAGGGAATTCTTTGACATTAAATTTATTATTATTATTACTACTATTGTTATTATTAGTATAAGTAATGGTTGTTGCTGCAGTCATTGTAGTATTAGCCTTAATATAGTCATCATCATCTTCACTATATTCATCATCATCGTCATCCTCCTCCTCTTCTTCTTCTTCTTCTATTATATCATCATTTCCAATATATGGATTATGTATCAAATTATTACTATTGCTCTTGTTAATGCTAATGTTGATATTATTATCATCGCTGTTCAATATTTTTGATTCAATATCAAATGATGATTTTTTTGATAATGAACTTTTACTTTGACTAATGCTAGATGTTCTTGGTAAATTTGGTTCAATGTTACTGTCAGTACTAATATTCACATTATTTCTAATCTTAACCTTGCCAGCATTATTATTATTAAATATTCTTGATGATAATTTAAATATGGACCGTTTATTGGTTTTATTAGTTCCTTTTGATGATTTACTTGCATAGATTTTATTTCCCAATTGTAAATAAGCGACACTGTTTGAAAGATCAATTTTACGAGGTAATGGTAAAGTATCTGGATTAGGTATTATTGACTTTATTGAGATTGGAATACTAAGGATAATTGAACAAATTGATAAAAATAAATAATTAGTTGATGGTTATAGCCATGTATTATGGATTATGTGCATATATATATATATTAATTGTTACCAACCTGAATTCTATTTGATCTCTACCAAAGTTACTTAATTGAATTTTGACATTTAATTGATGTCTTATTTTAACGTTGACTAAATCATAGTCATTTACAAAAGATTCACATATTGGTAATTTAAATATCATTGGTCTACTTTGAAGTTCCAATGGTTCCTTTTTTGGTAATTGGAAATAAAATGGACCAGCAATTGGTTTTTCATTGTGAGCAATACATTTATTATTTGCGATACTGTAGCATTCACTTTGAACAAAACAAAAACTAATCTTTTCAACTCTTTTAAAGCCATCCCATCTAGCAATAAGTTCAATTGAATTTGAATTTAATTTCATTATTTTTGGTAATATGAATTCAAAATCAAGCAAATCATTATTTCCACCAATGAATCTTGTTGGCTTTAATCCTCTTTTTATATCATCATCGGACTCTAGCATAGCTCTTTCGATAAACAGATCAACAATGTCAACTAGTTTGTTATTCTCTGTTAACAATTCGCATGGAGGTCTGGTTATTAATTCTGCTTTAAGAAAATATTTACATAAAATTGCATCTGAATTCATTGATTCTGGCAAGTCTCCTGGCAAAAGAAATTCGAAATGAAATTCATGAACTCCTTGTAATAATGTTCCTTTATTTTCTAATAATATGGAACTTGAAAATATAGTTCCTTGATTTTTTGGTGATGATGATGATGATGATACATCATTTAATAAATCTAATGAAATATCATAATCACCTACAAGTGATAGAATGATTTCCTAATAATAATAGCAAAAAATAATAAATAAATAATTTAAATAATAATTTAATAATATAAATAATTTAATAATTTAATAACAAATAATTTAATTATTAAATAATTTATTTATTTACCTTGACATTTAATTTACCAGCCACTTCAAGCCTAACTTTACCTCTCACAGTTCTTATTTCACTGTCATCAGGCGAGCCATGAAATATTATCCTATTTTTCTCAAGTGTTATGTCAAAATTTACAACAACTTGACCGATTCTTAATAATTTTAAATTCCTTATAAATACATTATAAGGAATATTCGAATCAAATTCCAATAAAGAAGTTGTTGGTTGATTATTATTATTAATGTTATTGGCGTTATTTATTATATATGAAGACATTTAATAATAATAATAACGATACACTCGGATTGTTCTATATGAAATGGTAAAATATTAGTTGAAAATAAGATAATCTATTTTTTAAATATGGGGCATGCTGCAACAAAAGTAATTGGTATTACTAGGATTACAGGGATCAAATTTATTAATGTGATTATTATTATTATTGGTTGCTTCATAAATTATATATTATTTGATTGGTAAATCGATAAAAATAGTACATTGTCATTAATTTGGATATTAAAAAAACTGAAAATAGTACAAACTGTTCGATTTTCATATTATTTATAATGTTTTTTTATAGGGGAGGAGTGGTGATATTTTTGTATGTTGCATTACTTTTTGTAAAACAATTGTCAAGAAGCCGGAAGGAAAGATCCAAGTGACAAATTTGACAAGTACGGTTTGAAATTCCGTTGGTTGCTTTGGCAAACAGTTGGAATGCGAAAGGGAAAGTTGTAATAAAGAAATCGAGTAACGTTAGATGGTTTGTTAAATTATTGATGATTTCATTTGCTTTCTCTTGGTTCTTTATTTTTAATTTTTATTCATTTCATTTAAATCTCTCAAATTATTTTAAGAATTTCCATATCATGCTATTTTGTTATTAACTCTCCTCCCTTAACATCTGATGGCCTTCGAATAGATGTAATATTAATATTAAATGGATATTTTACATTTCCTTCTTCGCCTGCACAAACAAAACCTATTAATAATACTGATTGATATACAGATGTGTCGTTATTTCCATTCATTCTAATTAATAATTATTTTCTCTTAAGTCTCCATGCACTAAATTATTTTTGTGTAAATAAGTAATAATTTCATGTGTTTTACCCAGTGATATTAGCCGTTTTAAAATCCTTAGCCGGCTAAGCCGTTTACTACCTAAATTGGTAATTTTATTTTTATAACCAGAAAGTAACGCGGAAATCTATTACCAAATTTAGAAATTATGTATGCAGATTATTAGCCGGTTAAGATCAGTAGTTTTACCCCTAATTTCTTTAAGTGGAGGAAAATTAGAATCCATAATGATCATCATCCATCCTCCTGCAAGATGCTCACATGCTATATAATTCAGGAGTGTATCCCATATTTGCACATAAAATATGCACCTTCTTTGACAAATTTAATATATATTCCTATTTGTTGTAATGGTAGCCATAAAATTTAGTTCCCCTCAATTTGAGATTTGTAGTGAAACTCTACTCTAGCATCATCATTTCCATAATAAAACTTATAAGGATATTTAGGATTTGAGCAACTTGGTTTATGCTATGATGCATCTCATCTTCATAATAAGACTTCAAATGGGGCATGCTGCAACAAAACCAGACAAAGTGAACATTGGTATTACCAAGAATTCCAGTGGTCAAAACTTAGTCATTTGTAATGTGATTATATAA